TAGGAATACTTGCTTGACTGTACTCAGTTATAAGAATTCCATCTACCAACTAAACACAGCAAAAATATGTTTTAACAGAAGGGGGAGAGTTGTCATCTGTAAGTAGCACCAAGCAGAACTTCCTCTCATATCCAATCCATTCAAATCCTATCATCATCCCACCTTCAATGCAGCCACCTCACGCCTTGATCCAGCACCTCTCCATCACCTCTCTCACTAACTTGGTAGCCTTGAGACTCATCTTCTACTTCCACTCTTGCTCCTTGCAGTCTGTTCTCTACAAAGCAGTTACTGTTCTTTCTGAAAATGTATGTTAGATCACTTCACTCTTGCTCAAACCCCTCAATGACTTCCTAACACACTCAGATTTTACTCTTAAGTCCTTACCATGGCGTACAAAGCCCTACACTGCATTGGCCCTGTGACTTCTCTAGCCTCATCTCCTACTATTCCAGCCCTAAAGGCCTTCTTCCTGTGCCTTAAATATGCCAAGGTCAAGCAGGCCAAACTACAGGGTCTTTGCACTTGTAGTTTCTGCCTGAAATGTTCTTCCCCAGATAAGTGAATGGCTCACTATATCATTTGTTTCACACGATGCTTAAATGTCATCTCCTCAAATAGGCCCTTCATTACATCTAATCTAAAGTAACACCCTCTGTCACTCTAACCTCTTAGCTGAATCTGCTTTATTTCTCTTCATAGCAATTACCACATTTTTTTTTATTTTGCTTGGTGTCTGTCTACCCTAATAAAAAGTAAACGCCACAGGGTAAGAATTCTTGTTTTGTTCAATTATGTATCCTCAATACCAAAACCATGTCTGGTACAAGGTAAGTACACAACATCTCTTCAATGATTTAATTTATAGGCTGAGTTAAAAAATACATTCTTCAGTAAAATATGCACTCATCTGCCATACTTTTTAAAAATTACAATAAGCAAAGAGTCAGCAATATGGACAGAAAACAAGTTGGTATTTTACAAAATTGTTTCTCATTAAAAAAACAAAAAATAAATTTGCCCTGACTGGTTTTGCTCAGCAGTTAGAGCAGCATGCGGACCAAAGGGTTTGAGTCCCAGTCAAGGGTACGTACCTGGGTGGCAGGTTCAATTCACACCCCAGTCAGGGTCATGCAGAAGGCAACCAATCAATGTGTATGTGTCTCTCTCTTTCTCTCCCTCCCTCTCTTCCACTCTATAAAATCAATGGAAAAATATCCTCGGGTGAGAATTAACGACAACAAAAAATGATTATGCTTTATTCATAAGTGTTATTTAAAAACCAGTTAAAATTTTAAGCATCATTACTTTTAAACTGTCCTGTCAGAAGCATAACTACAGTGATTTTCCTTTTTATTAAATTTATACTGGTTATACAGGTTATACAGGTTTCTGGTGAACAATTCCACAACACATCATCTGTATACTGTATTGAGTGTTCACCACCCCAAGTCAAGTCTTCCATCACCATTTATACAATCCTGTACTTCCTTACTTCAAAGTATAAATATGTTCAGTAAGATCTAATAAAAGCATAAATCCTTCTATATCCCTGTTGTCATTACAATACAGAAACTGGGAACATGAAAAAAAACAAACTTAAGCCCAATATAATCAATACTAAATACTTTTTTAATTGTAATTTTTTAAAAACAAAATACCAATCATAGGCAGCCTCTCAACTTTTACCACACAAAAAATTAAATTGTAAGAAATAAGCTAAGTTGTTAGTACTACTATTGACTACTAATTTGTTCCCTAAGAGAAGACATAGTAACAGGAAGTTCTTCTTGCATAAAATTAGTTTATTTTAATAATTCATTTTAATATTACTAATACCCTTTCTTTAACAGTAGCAATAATAGAAATGCTGAGCATTTTAAATTAGTAGTTTTAAAATGATACCCAAAAATTTGCATTTGCCTAACACTATGAAACTTTTAAGGTTAAAGTTTCCATCGTACTTTAATTTTTTAAAAACAGACACATTGAAAAAATAAAGTAAAAGGAAACGAAAGAAAAAAAAGGAAGAAAAAGAAAATTTAAATCTAAAAGACCTTCAATTTACAGATAGGCCAGGCACTACATTGGGAATTGTGACAGATTACATTTATTCCAAATGAAATTCTGCATTATTCAGCTTCTGACTCTATTACATATTATTCAACCCAACACTTTTCTTAAGAAATTCTTGTCCATCACCAAGCAAAGCATAGGTTTTTAACACAGGTCTTCTTCCACCCCTGTGTATATGTGTTTTACACAGGTCACAGGAGATCTGTGAGTAACAAAAAGGGATTCATTTCTGAAACGTATCTAATTGATTTTTCATTTACATGAAGGTGAGACAGAAATTCAGCAGATATAAACATTTTAGATATTTTAGAGCACCCCAAATTCAGAGAAAAAAAACCTAAAAAATAACTGGACTGAACTTACTTTGTATCTTTGTATAGCTGAAAAATATTTAAGTAGCCACAGCTTTTCCTTTCTTCCATAAACACAAGCATTACAATTTTTAATTTGGATGCAGTACTATAAAAGCAGTCTTGACTCCAGAAAAAAATGAAGTTTGTTTAAAAATAGTTCAAAGGAACTGTCAAAAGTAGATGATGTTTACATTTTAACATACTATCTGTTGCACTTCTGTACTTGTGAACACACTCTACACCCTTTACAAACCCTTCTGAATTTGGGATGGATGGAAAATATCTGCTAGCCTCTAAGTTCCACCAGTTGAATCTAGATATTTCAGGTATCTAAGGCTTTTATTCTAGAGGGCTTTAAAAACATCACAGCATTCAATTACATACCTTCTAAAGAGAACAAACAGCATGTACTTTTATTGCTATAATTTCTTCCACCAATTAAGCAAACTGTACTTTTTGGACAATATACTTCATTCAGTTAACACATTTACATTTAAGAGGAACCTGGTCATCGGTTTCCCATATCGGTTTTATCACAAAGCAACGGCGCATTTGACAATTCCCAGACCATAGAGATCAACAAAGAAAAATAAACCAAATAATCCTAAATCCCTAGAAATACAAGAAACAACTGCCATCCCTGATTGTGCAAATATCACCAAAATTCTCCATAAAAGTACGCTTTAAAGATCATTTTCGTGGCTTATCAAATAGGTCTGCTAACAACTCACAGCACTGCTAACACAATAAATGGGATTTTCTTTCATCAGTGTAACTGATAGAACCACAATATAGTTCAGGTTCTAGAATCAGATTACTTGACCTGCTTTTTCTGTTTTACCTCTTAAAACACTCTAATGCATGCAGTTATTCCTCTCATTTCCGGCAAAAAGAGATGTTCTATATATGGGACAACCATCCTCAGTGCGATACCCTGAAATTGGCTCCAACTCCACAGCACAGCGCACAGATATCCACACCACTGACCCCTCATCTCCCGGGGAAGGGCTCGAAACCCAGGCCCCAAGCACAGCACTCAGAGGCCCCTCACACGACCGCGACCTAAGCCCCCACTTCCTGAATTCTCAACCCCGAGGGTCTGTTTTCCTTCGGCAATCTTACCTTCATGACGATTCCGGGGCCGCGATGCCCTCAAAAACACCAGATTCACCTGCACCTGGAGAAGAAACAAAAGAGACCCAGTCAACACCACAGGCACCCCCTGCGCGGGCGGAGGCCGAGGAGCCAAGATAGACTCGAACCACGAGACGCCGATGTGGGGATCGCTCTGGCCCCGCCGCCCCGCGCACCCCGCCACCCACACAGCTCGGCAGCTTAGCATCCCCATTGTCGGGACCCGACGGAGTTTCCCGTCTCCGACAATGACGCCATTTCTGTCAGAGAAGAAACTCACAACAAGCTGGGTCCGGCCGGGCCTCGGCGCACCCCGCGTCCGAGCGGGCAGCGGCCTCGAGGGCCCCGCGGGCCGCAGCAAGACCGACCCGCAGGGCCGCTGCCCCTGTCCCGTTCCGAGATGCCGACCAACCCTGTCTGCCGGCCGCGGGGACAGGGGACGGGGAGGAGACGGCCGGGAGGAGGCACAGCCCCCGCGCTCGCCGGGCCCCCACCGCGGCCCTCGCCGAACCCTTGAGCTCGGGAGCCGGGCTGGGGCGACCGCGGGGGGCGGGGGCTCCGCAGGCAGAGGCCCGGAATTCGGGCGCCCGGCGAGCCCACCAAGGCGACCCTCCCCGCTCGCTGGCCCGGCCCGGGGACTCCCTAAAGAACCCCTGACGAGCCCGCGAAAGCTTCAAGAATGCCCTACCTTCCTCCGAAGCGAGCGCCAACCCTGGCGCGTCCAGAGTCCCCTCCCCGGCTCCCCCCCAAAACCAGCAGGCCCGGGGGAGCGATGGGGGAGAAGCGCAGCGGGTCCAGCGGAGCCGAGGCTGAAGCTCCGGCTCCTCCTCCTCCCGCGGCGGCGACTGGTACCTTTGTTTGGCGGCCGCTCGGGTTCCCTCGCTGGGGGGAGGGGGACGACGAAAAATCCTCGCGAACTGGAGTCCGGGCCCCCGTCGCGCTGCCCTCCAGAGGACGGCGGCCACAGACCCTCTGCGGCTCCCTCCCGGCAAAGGTCCAAGTGGTGGCCGTGGCGGCAGTAAGCTAAGCTCAAGAGTCTCCTCCGTTCCGGCGCCCGAGCTCCTCACTCCGGACTCGACTGACGGGCAAACATCGCTCCCCCCGCCCGGAGTCCCCCCTCTTCCCTCCGCTTTCTCCTCCCCTAGGCTGTTTCCCCTCCCCTACCTCTTTCCCGGATGGCCTCTTAGACGACCTCAGATTGGCTCGAGTTTTTTAAAACCCGCCTATGCCCTGTTCTTATTGGTTCCCGGGATACAAACAACGACGCCATTTTCCCACCAGTTCTATGGAAACAGAAAGTTACACCTCAAAGCTTACCGGGAAATGTAGTCCGATCTGTGGGGCCAGTGTGCAAGCCCTTGCCCACGAGAACTGCAAGACCCGCAACGCCCCGCGCCTGCGTGAGACGGGGATGGGGAGAAAGGGGCGGGGCGACAAAGCAGTGGGGAGGAGGCAACGACGCCTGCGCAGTGTGACCGGGATGGCGCATTTTCTTGCTCAGAATAATGCGGTGTCGCTGGCGGCTGAGGAGGGCGGAAAGTGCTGTGATGAAGTAGGGGGAGGGATTCTTGCAGGCGTCAGGAGGAGCCGTGGTTTGAACTGTAAAGTGAGAAGTTGATGCTGGGTACTGCTACTCCCGGACCGGTGCCGCGAAAGCTGTGATCTCATCGTTGAACCGTAAGCAACTGTGGTGGCGGCTGGGGGACCCGGATGGGGAGGAAGGCGGGGCCTGGAGTAGAGAAAGAAGGAGGGTGAGGACCCGGATGCTGAACCGGATTGTGTATGAATTATCTGTCCCCTCACTGAAGAAGGGGGTGAGCAGGAGGGGACCGAGCGGGTCATCTGAGCGGAAAGGAAGCGGGAGCCTCGCGGACCCAGCGGCTCTGCTGGTGGAGTAGGTGCTGGAGGCTCTCTGCCAAGCCGCTGTTGGAAATCGGCCTCGGGGGTGTTTAAATCTCCTTCCCGTATTTCAGATCGTTTTCTGCCGACCTGTCATCTCCCGGAGTCGAGGGGAAGGGTTCCTTCCCTGCGCTTACATTTGTAGGTCTCTAGCCATTCTGAAACCAGCCCCTCCCTTGATGTTTTCGTTTTTCATGTGCCAGTGTGTGCCCTGATTCCATCCTCCATGCGTTAGAAAGCACTTTCCGTCCCCTGGTTCAGCCCTTCGCGTGGTGGCTGAGCGCCTGTCACGTGGAGGAACTGGTCACTACAAAAGGACCGTGCCTTGGGGAACCCGTGCCTAGCGAGGTAGACGGTATGAATAAGAAGACACAAGCGAGAGTGGAATCGGCAACAGCGGCTACAGAGCAGGGTTGCAAGGTAATAGGGGAATTTGAAGTGGGGAATTTGGCTTAGGGACCTACGGGAAGACACCCAAGAGTTGAGGGTTTTGCAGGAGCTAACAAGGAAAGAACATTTCAGAACCAAGGGAGCTTTTGAAGTATGAGGAATTGAGGCTGGAAGGGTGGAAACGCAGAACTTTACACACTGTGTTAAAAAGTTTTGTTCAGTCAAAAGAGAAATAATACTCCCTTTTGAAGATTTGAATTTTGCAAAGATCACTAACTGATGCAGGGAACCCAACTAGGAAGTCGTTGCAGTACTCGGAGTAGAGAATCTGTTTCCGTATTTGATAATTGATCCATTGAACAAATCTAAAGCAGTTTTAGTTTTGGAAGTGAGTAGTTTCAGACTCACATAGGCATTCTGTAGTGCTAGTCAATATAAAAGTAAATAAATAGATCCCTGGCCGGGTTACTGATTGGTTAGAGCATGGTTCCCATACTCCAAGGTTTCCGGTTTGATCCCCGGTTAGAGCACATGCAAGAATCAACCAATGGCCCTGGCCAGTTTGGCTCAGCGGTTAGAGCGTCGGCCTGCGGTCTGGAGAGACCCGGGTTCGGTTCTTCGGTTGCAGTTTGTCCCCGGCCCTGGTTGGTCGTGCGGGTGGCAGCCACTCGATGTGTCCCTTCACGTCGATGTTTCTCTCTCTCTCTCCCTTCCTCTCTCTCCCTCCCACTCTATCTGTATAAAAAATGGAAAAATATCCTCGGGTGAGGATTAAAAAAAAAAAAAAAAAAAGAATCAACCAATGAGTGTAGTCCAAGTACTGCTCCCTCGGCTTTCTCTCTCTCTCCCCCCACCCTCCTCCTTCCCTCCCCCTTCCTTTATTAATATAAATAAATTTAGTTCATTAACAAACTAACGTCTCTCTTTACATTTAAGTCTAGTACAAGATAGCTAAAATTTACTGGTGTCATTAAAAAAAAAAAAATGTCGAGTCAGACCATGTGCCATAGTGTATAAGAACCTCTTATTGGAGTGTTGCTAGTACACCAGGGGTTACCGGTTCATCCGGTCGGGTGCATGTGGGAGGCAGCCAATGGATGTTTCTCTTCTTCTCTCTCTCAAAAAAAATAAATAATAAATAAATAAAACAAGGCACAAAGATTGATTTTCAATACCTAGAAAAATTGAGATTCCTATGTTTCCCCACTGCTGAGAATATGTGTGTAAACAGTCCTCTCAGAAAGAAACTGACTTGTTGAGTGTTCTTAAACTTACCCGAGTAAAGGAAAAAGTAATTGTTTAAAATTCATAACTAGTACTTTAAGTGTCCATCAGTAGACGAATGGATCAAAAAGCTGTGGTACATATACACAATGGAGTACTACGCAGCGGTAAGAAAGAAAGACCTCTTATCCTTTGAGACTACATGGAGGGACCTTGAAAGTATCATCCTAAGTGAAACAAGCCAAACAGAGAAAGACAAATTTCATATGATCTCACTTATTTGTGGAATATAATGAACATAACAGTTTGAGGAATGGGGTAGTCCCAGAGACGGGGAAGCGGGGTACAGACTGACAATCCCCTAAAAAGTGGGGAGGTGGGGGAGGGATGAACCACAGAACTTATACGCATGTATGCATGAACAGTGGACATGGACAACAATCTGGGGAAGGGGCAGGGAGGGAGGGGGAGGGGGGAATCAGTGGGGGGAAAAAGGAGAAACATCTGTAACAAAAATTAATCAATAAAATAAATAAATAAATAAAAGAAATACAACAAAACCAAAATGAGATTGGAAAATTAAAAAATAAAGTTCAGATTGTGTATAAGTAAAAAAAAAAAAAAAAAAGTAACACTAAGAATTGAAACAAAGGTTAGGCTCTGATTTCTGTACAACAGAATTACATGTTACTGATCCAGAGACAAAGCGAATTCTTGAAAGTTGGTCTTTTTTTTGAGAGAATGTTTGTTAAAGCTGAGGACAGTGAAACAAGAAAGGGTTTAGGATAGAAGAAGCTGGAGAGAGCCTAGGTGGGGCAGCTTTGGCCTCTGTAGACTGCTACGGGAAAGATCATGCTGCTGTTGGCTCGCTGAAAAATCAGACAAAAGGAGGCCTTGGGGACAGGTTCAGGGGGTAATCCTGGGACAAGCTGCCACCGCTGCCGATTACTCCCCTAGTTGCGAGTCTTCTGGGGACCCTTAGAACTTCGTGACAGAAAAAAAAACAAAACATGCCTGAGGAAGAAATGAGGAAGACAGGTGTGGGCATGCTCCAGAGGAAGCTGGCCCTCACTGATTTCTTGTTTTTCCGGTTTTTTTTTTTCTTTATTGATTTTAGAGAGAGGAAGGGAGAAGGAGAGAGAGAGAAACATGATAAGAGAGAACATCAGCCCTGGCCGGTTTGGCTCAGCGGTTAGAGCGTCGGCCTGCGGTCTGGAGAGACCAGGGTTCGGTTCCCGCTAAGGGCACGTGCCTCGGTTGCAGTTTGTCCCCGGCCCTGGTCGGTTGTGTGGGTGGCAGCCACTCGATGTGTCCCTTCACGTCGATGTTTCTCTCTCTCTCTCTCTGTTCCTCTCTCTCCCCCCCCACTGTACCTGAACAACAAGATGGAAAAATGTCCTTGGATGAGGAAAAAAAGAGAGAGAGAGAGAGAACATCAACTGGCCGCCTCCTGCACGCCCCCCACTGGGGAATTGGCTCACAACCTGGATATGTGCCCTGACTGGGAATGGAACCGCGACCTCTTGGTGCCTGGGTCCACGTTCAACCACTAAGCCACACCGGCCAGGCTGATTTTTAATTTAAGTCAAATGTATTCTGGAGGCCACGAAAAAGATAAACATGATCTTTGCTCTTAACCTAGTTGGGAAGAGATGAGTACTGATTGGTTTAGAGAAGTATCTGAGGTACTTTTTGTTATTCTACCATTATAGTTGTTGATCTTTTATGAAAGCAGTTATTCTTCCTGCTTGTTATCATGTTCTTTAATCTCATAAGAATAAGGTAACCTATGTCAAAGTTTAAAAAGTGTAGGTAATAGGTTGCTAAACTATTCTTTGGATTATTTCAAAGTATTTCCTGGACTTTTTTCCCTTGTGATGTACTCAATATTAATTATTCATCAAGGCAGATATAGGAAATTCTGTATGGATCGTTTCTCTTTGAAATCATATTTCTAAGATGATTTCCTTTGATGGAGTGCTGATTTATTTTTTATGATTATTTCACCTACATACTCAAGAGTAACCTACAAAAACCACACCTTTCAATTCTTAAATATTTTTTAAATTGATTTTCAGAGAGAGAAGAAAGAGAGGGGAAGAGAGAAACATCGATTGCCTCCCTCACGCACCTCTATCAGGAACAGATTACACAACTTGGTTATGTCCCTGATCAGGAATCAAACTTGCGACTTTTCTGTGAAGGGGACAACACTGAACCATCTAAGCCACACCAGCCAGGACAAACACTTTTTAATTTTTTAGGTTCATGATCGTAAAGACCAAATAATTGTCCAAACAAAAGAAAGCAGATAAAGAGGAGAAACCTCCTAAAATGTGCCAAAGACGTCAGAGAAGTTAGAAAAGAAAACTAATATGAGAACAAATAAAAACAGTAGATTTTTATAGAGCAGAACAGTAGAAATTCAATAGTAAAGAAAGATTCTAGGACGACCATGAGTGATATGCTAGAAAATATTGAAGTAAATGTAAAATTCAGAGTAATAAATCACTACAGTAGGGGAATATTTTTAATAATACAATTGCATTCAAGTTAATGCATGTCTTAAATCAGAATCTCTCAAATGGGTTGATTATGGAGAAAATACAGGAGAGAAGTTTCCCTTTAAATTATAAATACTATATAAAACATTTTAATGTTCATAGAAAAAAGTATGTTTGCTAATTTATATAATCAGTTAAGTATAGAAGAATCTAAATCTGTAGATCTGTTTTAACATTGATTTGATACAACAATATAAGCCTTTTATGGTTGAGTAAATACAAAAAGCTTAATGTTAGTTTTCTTAGCTATAAGTTTTGCAATATAAATTTTGTGCATTAAAATCCAGGTGGACACTTTGACCAATCTCTTCAATGACAACTTTTCTTAATGAGATATAATTTATATATCATGTAGTTCACCCATTTATTTATTTTTATTATTATTTTTTTGTTACAGATGTTTCTCCTTTTTTTATGATACCTTCCTCCACACCTTTTTTGTCCATTGGTTATGCATATATACATATAAATTCTGTGGTTTATCTCTTCCCTCCCCCCACCACAACCCTCTTCTGAGGGTTGTCAGTCTATAACCTACTTCCACATCTCTGGGTCTACCCTATTCCTCAGAATGTTATGTTGATTATATTCCACAAATAAGTGAGATCATGTGGTATTTGTCTTTCTTTCCTTGGCTTGTTTCACTTAGAATAATACTTTTTAGGTCCCTCCATGTCCTCTCAAAGGATAAGAGATCTTTCTTACAGTTGCATAGTACTCCATTGTTATATGTACCACAGCTTTTTTATTCATTCGTCTACTGGTGGACACTTGGGCTGTTTCCAGATCTTACTATTGTAAATAGTGCTGCTATAAACACGGGGGTATATATATTCTTTGTGATTGGTGTTTCAAGCTTCTTAGAGTATATTCAGGGGTCACTGGGCCAAATGGCAATTCAATTTTTAATTTTTTGAGGTAACACCATATTGTTTTCCATAGTGGCTGCACCAGTCTGCATTCCCACCAGCAGTGTACTGGAGTCCCCTTTTCTCCACACCCTCGCCAACACTTGTTGTTTGATGATTTGTTGATGGTGGCCATTCTGACAGGTGTGAGGTGATACCTCATTGTTGTTTTAATTTACATCTCTCTGATGATTAGTGATGTTGAGCATTTCTTCATATGTCTCTTGGCTATTTGTATGTCCTGTTTGGAGAGGTGTCTATTTAGGTCCTCTGCCCATTTTTTACTTGGCTTCTTTGTCTTCCTTTTGTTGAGTTGTATGAGTACTCTATATAT